CATACATACATACATACATACATACATACATATACATACATACATACATACATAAATACCATACATACATACATACATTACATTACATTACATACATTACATACATACGTACATACATACATACATACATACATACATACATACATACATACATACATACATACATTACATACATACATACATACATACATACATACATTACATACATACATTCCATACATACATACCTACATACATACATACATACATACATACATACGTTACTATACATACATACATACATACATACATACATACATACATACATACATACATACATACATACATACATACCATACATTACATACATACATACATACATACATACATACATACATACATACATACATACATACATACATACATACATACATACATACATTACATACATACATACATACATATTACATACATACATACATACATACATACATACATACATACATACATACATACATACATACATACATACATACATACATACATACATACATACATACATACATACATACATACATACATACATACATACATACATACATACATACATACATACATACATACATACATACATACATACATACATACATACATACATACATACATACATACATACATACATACATACATACATACATACATACATACATACATACATACATACATACATACATACATACATACATACATACATACATACATACATACATACATACATACATACATACATACATACATACATACATACATACATACATACATACATACATACATACATACATACATACATACATACATACATACATACATACATACATACATACATACATACATACATACATACATACATACATACATACATACATACATACATACATACATACATACATACATTACATTACATTACATTACATTACATTACATTACATTACATTACATTACATACATACATTACATACATACATACATACATACATACATACATACATACATACATACATACATACATTACATACATTACATACATACATACATACATACATACATACATACATACATACATACATACATACATACATACATACATACATACATACATACATACATACATACATACATACATACATACATACATACATACATGTACATATGCATACATACGATACATACATACATGGGCATGCATACATACGAGAGAGGGAGATGGGGAGAGAGAGGCTTGGGGGGATGGGGAGGATGGGAGCAGAGGGAGGGAGAGAGGACGACAGAACACACAAGGGAGACAAGGAAGAGAGGAAGAAGGAGAAAAGGGAGAGGACAATGTCGGCGGACTGAGCCGGAGGCTCTAAAGTTACATTTGAGCAGCCAAGTGGGGATTGGGATCTTGGTTGACGTTGAAAAGGGGAGCAAGAATTCTCAAATTTGAGCAGCTCAGTGGTTGGAGTTCAACCACTAAACCACAATAAGCAAAAATGTAAGATGCTTCCCAACAACAACCAAGGGTTGGGGAGGACCAACTCCGGACAAAGTCCCATGGTACCCCATGTTGAATGTTCAAAGACCCATGTGGCTGTGGCTCAAAAATAGGTGCCCAAAATGGAACCCTGGTAAGTGGAAACATTGACCAAAACCTGCGTAACCCCTCCTGTTTAATTTTGAGCCGCACCCATGTTCAAAGAGATTCAAAGGTATTCAACTCCAGAAAAAGGCCCTGAGAACAAAGGCAATTCAAAGATATTCACAGAACCATACGGATGGAAAAACCATCTTTGGACTAGTGGAAGCAGTGGAAGGTGGAACCAGCGGAACCAGTGCTTAGAAGACGTTTTGGGAAAATGTGATGGAATATTGCCTATAGGATTTTGCCTATATGGACAATCGGTTCAAGGCTTCAAGAAAGGAACCAGAGGATCTGTTCCCCATGATGCCGGGGTGATTCCCCCATTTTGAGGGGGTCCACAAGCTGAGGGCGCCCCTAATTCCGAGAAATACCCCAAAATGCTTGGGTATGCAGGAGCCTTCGCAATATTTCCAGGAAATGGTTGTAGGTCGAACCCAGGCAGTTGGCTGAGAAAGGACAAGCCATATCTGTACACCAGCTCAAACAAAAAATGTCGGGTCCCTCAGAGGAAGATATGTCTCATCTGTCAACCGGCAACTTCCTTGGGAAATAAATTCGAAGAACAGCCGCCATTTTGGGGGGTCCCCTAGAAACAGACACGCCCAAATGAAGAACCTCCTCTCGCATCGATGTCCCTGCCCGAGTTTCTTGGAGCCCCGCCCCTTGAGCCCCGCAATGCCCAATCTCATCTCTCCTTCAATGCTAGTTTGAAGTGGTGGTTTGGTGGTTAGGGGCTGGTTTCCTGTTCACCAACGATTCCAATCCCCAAACCTCCAATCCAAATCACCAATTGGCGGTAACCAGACAATCCAGGCCACCCGCATCCCAACAGCCATCCGCAGAGCAAGCCCCGAAACAGATCGCCCAATCAAAACTTTGCACACATTCAGAACTGCACGCTAATCCCCGAAGCAATCGCCTTGAATCAGTGGTTGCAAGCTGGGAGACCCCGAAATCCCGGTGTTCCAAAACCTTACCTTACCTTTTAAACCTCCACTCCAAAACAGGTACCTTTTGCCTACCCAAGGCCCAGAGCCGCTTTCTTGGGCCGCTCGTTGGCCGCATATATTGGCCGCTCGGGTCCCGGGCGTAGATGCGGCCCCCCAGCTCTGCGGAGGCACAGCTGCGGCGGGGCACTGTGAGGTCTGGGCCTCCCAGAAAGCGATGCGTCGGTTTGCTCGCCCGCCACCGCCGGCCGGCGATCCGGCCGCCAGGCTCGGCAGAGGCTGTTTTTTGTTGGGTTTTTTTTTGGGGTTCCTATTTTTTAAGCAATATATATATATATATATAGGTTCTTTTAAACCATTAGCAGAGACTATGTTTAGGATAACCTCCCACCAATTCACATGGAACCTGACAGGGGGGTCCTGGAAGACCATTTTGCATGGTCAGGCTCCATGTTCATTGGTGGGAGGGTAAGGTGTCTGGAAAAAAGGCGGCCAACTTGGCTATCTAAGGGGACTCCTATGACAAAAACTTGGTTTTGAAGCACGCCCGCAACTTCACTGGACATGTTCAGGCCCTTTACAGTTTTCGCCTATTGGGAACAGCAAATTACGGGTGATCTCTTTCTTGGGAAAGACTACAAATTTACAAATGGACCAAAAGTGTTGGAAGACTGGATTCTGGATGGTGCTTGAAAGGGGAGCTATGCTTCCCACCAGGTTCTCTTTATTTCCCAAATAGTGTTTACACTAAGGGGATCTTACGGTAAGAGTTAAGGCCTGGTGTAGATCGAGGTGTCGGCTCAAATTGCTGGCCCTGTGCGTAAAAAGTTGTCTTCGATGCGACAGTCTCGCACGAAATGGAGGTACGACCTTTGCGTGCGTCTCGCTGTGGCGCCGTTCGCACTTTTCAGCTTTTGCTGGCAGGGGCCTTGAAGCCAAACGCGTTTTTTTGAAGCAAAATGCATTTGTTGCTGGCAGGGGCGTGTCACACGGAGGTTCGCGCTGCGACGCGGGGTGTGTTTTTTGAGGAAGCCTCGTGCCAAACGCGTGCTTTTGAGACCAGAGTGCGTTTTTTGATGGCAGGGCCGCCACGCGATGATATCTTCTTGTCGGGTCAGGCTACCACGCTTGGACAATCGGAGCTCTAAAGCCATGGCAGTTGTCGCAAAAATTAAAAGTTGTGTCGCGTGCGACAGCTTCGCTCTCGCTGTGGCGCCGTGCGAATTTGTCCTACTTGTGGTGAACCCTTTGCGTAGATCCTGCGTGTCGAAACGCTCTCGCTGTGGCGCCGTGCGAATTCTTCTTGAGCTCGGCGAACCCTCTGCGGAGACTGCACGTGTCGAAGCGCTCTCGCTGTGGTGCCGTGCGAATTTGTCTTGCTCGCGGTGAACCCTTTGCGTAGATCCTGCGTGTCGAAACGCTCTCGCTGTGGCGCCATGCGGTTCGATTTGTCTGCTGTCCTTGCTTGCGAAGGGGTGTTTGGAAGTTGTCTCGTGGTTTGCGCGTCTGTTTTCACGATCGCACGCTGTCTCGGGCTCCACCTGCCTGGTCCACGGCAGCTCCGGCTTGAAAATCGCAACTTTTAATTACGAAAGTAGTACGCGAAGAGCATTCCAGAGCTCCGGCTGCAACATCGCAACTTCTAAGCGCAAAAGTAGTACGCGAAGTGCGCTTCCGCAGCTCCGGCACGAAATTTGCAAGTTTCAAGTACAAAAAGTAGTATGCGAAGCGCGCTCCCGCAGCTCCGGCCCAAAAATCGCAAGTTTTAAGTACAAAAGTAGTACGCGAAGAGCATTCCCAGAGCTCCAGCTGCAAAATTACAACTTGCAAGTACAAAGTAGTACGCGAAGCGCACCCCCGGAGCTGCTCAAGAATCGCAAGTTTTAAGTACAAAAGTAGTACGCGAAGAGCATTCCCAGAGCTCCGGCTGCAAAATCGCAACTTGCAAGTACAAAAGTAGTACGCGAAGAACACTCCCGCAGCTCCGGCTACAAAGTCACAAGTGTTAAGTACAAAAGTAGTACGTGAAGAGCTGTCACAGAGCTCCGGCTGCAACATCGCAAGTTTTAAGTACAAAAGTAGAAGTCGCAACTTTTAATCACGCAAGTAGTACGCGAAGAGCATTCCCAGAGCTCCGGCTGCAATATCGCAACTTCTAAGCGCAAAAGTAGTACGCGAAGCGCGCTTCCGCAGATCCGGCACGAAATTCGCAAGTTTAAGTACAAAAAGTAGTATGCGAAGCGCGCTCCCGCAGCTCCGGCTGACAAATCGCAAGTTTTAAGTACCAAAGTATAAGTACGCGAAGAGCATTTCCAGAGGTGCGGGTGTGAAATCGCAACTTGTAAGTACAAGAGTAGTACGCGAAGTGCGCTCCCGCAGCTCCGGCTGAAAATTCGCAAGTTTTAACGCAAATTTGAGTGCAAAAGTAATACGTGAAGAGCTTTCGGAGAGCTCCGGCTGCAAAATCGCAACTTTTAAGCGCAAAAGTGGCGCGCGAAGAGCATTCCCGAGCTCCGGCTGCAAAGTAGCAACTTTCAAGTAGCAAAAGTACTGCCAGAAGTAGTGTGCGAAGTGCGTCCCATGGCTCCGGCCAAAGTTGTACGCGAAGTGCATTCCCGCAGCAGCTCCGGCTGCAAAATCGTACGTAAAGGCGATCCGCGCGCTCACAGCTCCAGCTCGAACATCGCAACTTCAGTTTTCAAGCGCGAAAGTAATGTTCGGAAAGTGCTCTCTCGCAACTTGCAAGCGCAAAAGTAGTATGCCAAGTACACTTCTGCAACTAAAACCGCCAGCCTGCTTGCGCAGCCAAACTGGACGCAGACATGGACAAAAGAGGTTGACAAGAGAAAGGGACATGAAAGGTTGGGCGAGAGAGGTTGCGCAGCATCATGCGCGAGAGGGACCGTCACACGTCACACGCAGCATCATGCGCAGCATCATGCACGGCGTCGCGCGCAACGTCGCACGCAGCGTCATGCACAACATCATGCCTGCGCAGCATCATGCGCAACATCACGCGTAGCTTCACGCGCAGCAGCGTCAAAACACAGCGCCGCGCGCAAGAGAAGTTGACAGGAGAGATTGTTCGAAGCGCGACACCAAGCTTGCTCATCAGAACTTGCAGAAGCTACGAAGGGACATTGATGCGCTTACGCTTGTTTCTCATCTGCAGTGGGAGAGGTGTCAGAGTTTATTTAACGTCTTTCTATGCTTCCGGGCCACCCGTCAAATTACACCCAATACTATTTGGGGTCTCTTGCCGGGATGGGATTTTGAGAACCTAGCAAAACGCCACCACTTCAAGGGCCCACTTCGGGAAAGAAGGCTCGGAACTTACATCAAGGCCCAGGCGTGCAGAAAAAAAAGAGCCCTCCGCGACTTTCGGAGGGCCGCTCGAAGCATTTTGGGGAGCATGTCTGCACCGTCCACCGAGCGAAGCAGGCATCAAGAAAGGAGGGCGTCAGCCAAAAATCCTGGAAAAACAAAAGCGACTCAGCGGGGAGGAGCGCTCTGTTCACAGCGGAGACTGAGTCCCAGATGGGTTTGTCTCAAATAGGAGACCCCCAAAATAGCCTCGGGGTCTTTCGTTTTAAAACCAAGGCAAAAAGGGTAGCATCAAGAAAAGACACATCCAGATCTGCCCCACTGCTCCCAAGATCTTCCCATCTGTATTGTGTTGCTCGCGTTTCGCTGATAGGCTTACTGGAGGTCTGCAGCCACGCAAGGGGATGGACATCCATGACTCTGCCAGTCCCTCTTTTGAAAACTGGATCCTTGTCGAGATCTTCCCTCCGCACGGGTTCAAGCCAAATGCGCTGCTGCAAATTGACATGGAACCTCAAGAAGCATCGCTTTCACCGGAATCTGCTCATGAAAGATCGTTTTTTTCTTTTGCTTTTCTTTTTTGTCGGGCTTTCTTCGAAATCTGCAAGGGAGTCCGCCAACCCTCCGGACGGGTTCTGCTCTTCAGGCGATGCATACGATCCGACCGGCGACTCGCCTGACATCCAGCAGCCACGGAGGCAGTCGAAGCACTCCGTCTCGCAGAGGGCCTGCGCCAGGTTGACCCAAGGCGAGTTCTGTGTCGCCATGGCACCTGACACTGGGCATTGGTCTAAGAACCCCCCCTCCCACAAATGCCTTCGGTTGGTGGGAGGGTTTCGGATATCAAACAAGGGAAGGCCTTTCAAGGGCTTCCAGCGCCATCTGGCCATCTTTCTCTCAGCCCAAAGAATTGAAAATCTACACTGGATTCCTTGAGGATGCTTCGAACAACTAATTGCATGTCTTGCATGTGAGACTTGCTCGTCGCCGGCTAAAGGCACACAGACTTACATGTCTGTCTGTCTGTTTGTCTGTCTGTGTCTGTGTCTGTGTTTGTGTCTCTGTCTTTGTTTGTGTCTCTGTCTTTGTCTGTCTGTCTCTGTCTGTCTGTCTCTGTCTGTCTACATATGCATGTGTGTATGTGCGTATGTGCACTTGTGCAAATGTATGTCTAGGATTTGTGAAAGTGTGTGTCTGCATCTCTCTACACCATACATGTACATAGGTGTCCTTTGGGAGCAAATAGATGGCCCTGGTAGATGATTAAACCACCAGGTAAACCAGGGCCATCTATCTTTCTACCCAAGCAACCAAAAAGGACACCTATGTACATGTACATAAAGGGCCATCTCCGCGACAAAGAAAGGCCTTCTCGAAGATCTTGCGAGCGCAATATAAGCACGAGACTCTCAACTGTCTGGGGGCTTTTAGTTTTAGATCATTTCTACAGGGGTGGTAAAACATGCACATGCTGATTCATAAACCTCTGGTTAATTTCTCGGGGAGCTCTCCCCATCAAACAAATAAGAACCAGAGATATAAGACGCGACGGCACAATACAAAACTGACTGTGAGTTGCTCTTTCTAGGTGTGCAGCCATTTGGGTGTGCCTTGTTTTCAAGGCTGGAACCCTCCAAAAGGCCCCAAAAAAAGTCGTTGCTGCCATGTCGACTTGGAGCCTTGTACTCCAGGTTCTGGCCACCATACCTGAAAATTCCGAGCTGACGCGGACGACGGCGGCGACTAGCAGATTTGTTTTTCGAGACCGACGGGTCCCAACGTTGCAGGTAGTTGTGTTGCAAATAGAGAATCAGTTGGTGGAGTCGGTATCCTATAGCATCTGTTTTTAGTACAAAAAAAACACACCATCAAACATGTCCTGTGCCAGGTGGAGTCCAAAAGGTCATTTGGCTTCTTTGTTGCGCGCCGGGCGATCTACTGAAATGCGTTGACCCTGAGTGTATGGGTTTGCCTGATCCGTCTCACTTCCAGTCATGTGACTGAAACATTATTATGATATTTCACAAGCCTGAGCCCCCCAACCGTTCCCCACATAAACCACCATTTGGGGTGAGGTCGTGCGAGGTCGTTAGAAATCCCAGAGTCCTGTGAGTTACGGATGATCGGACGATTCTTGCCAGGCCGCAAGTACAGCCGCGAGTGCAGCACCTCTCCACCAAAGTACCTGACAGCCAGTTAGGTTGGAGCACTGCCAGGCTGCTCCATTTGCCATTGACAAGTTTGGCCGAGCGACCTCCCCGTTTTGGGTGGCACCGATCTTTGTCTAAGTAAAGATAAGGACAACCTTGCTCACTGCCTAGAATTCCAAGGCCCCCTTCTAGTCCCCATCCTCTCTGCATGGGAAACTTGACCTCATGCAGCTTGATCCCGATCGCTGCTCCCGGCTCACCATCTGTGCACAAAGTCTGTCTAGAGGATGTTCACTCAGAGCCACAAACATGTGCAACAAAATGTTCTAGAGCGAAATCACGTGTCTGCAGTGTCGTTACACTTATCCCCTGAATTCGTTACAGCCACAACTCTGCGCGCTTCAAAAAAGAACAAGCCCAGCCGGTGGGGAAGTACTTGGCCATGGGTCAAAACCAATGGTACCATTTTGGGGTAGGTGCAGCACCCATTTTCGTCTATTTGAGTGGGGATTGGGATGTTCACTGGGGGTACGGGGTTTGGACCCACAGCCACTTGACACCACATGGCTTGTAAAAAAATGCCCCAGCTCGCTCGCTCGTGCATCTCTGCTCTCTGCTCCCGGAGGGCACGTGCGCTCGGTGTGCATGGGCTTGCAGGGTCTCCAGCCTCAGCTTGTGAATCGCCAGCCTTGTTCAGAGTTTAGGGCTTAGGGCTTGGGGTTCTAGGGTTTAGGCTTTGGGGTCTTAGGGCTTGGGGCTTGGGGTTCTAGGGCTTAGGCTTTGGGGTTTAGGGTTTAGGGTTTAGGGTGTGTCGAATGCAAAGGAAGACCACGGGGATTTTTGCCGGGGGTCTGTTTTAAGACATGCCCATGTGGGTATGATGTATCATTGGGTCCAACCACTTTGGCCCAACCCCAAAAGTACACCAAAATAACTTGTTCAAATTGTGTTTTTCGTTCTTCAAAGGGTAATAAACCAAGGGAACACCCTGTTCCCCTTTTCAAGAAGTTCCGTGTCCTGTCCCAAGGTTCGTTGGGTGCGTGAATTCTCGGAGTCACCATTTGAGGGAATGTTCAAAAGTGGCTTCCCTTCGGTGTCCCCGAAAAAGAAGGAAGAAAAACAACACAGAAAGGACAACCGCCCACAAAAAGACGGCAAAGCCTCACTCCAGGCCAAGGAACACTGGTTCTCCACATCCAGCACCTGCGAGATTTGGGGGCAGCGGGACCACATGGCCGCAGTTTCAAAGCCTGGGTTAAGGGGTCTATTGGGTGCGAATAAAAAATTGCGGACCCTCAAAATTCGGTGGACATCAAGATTCCACCAACCACTGGTGGTTCACCATAAAACAACTAGTACCATATATACATATATGTACATAATATGTATATATATATATATATATATGCTAAGACCCCCTCCCAATACCAAGGTGTTTGCTTTATTTGAAGTATGGGGCACATGATCGAAGCTTTGCAGGGCCAGACGCAGAGGCGGCTTGCAGCAGATGAAGGAAACAGACGTTTTTTTTTTTTTTTTTTTTTTTTTTAACGGGGGCAGATGTCAGACACGAGATACTTGTCTAACGCAGACAGATGTTGCATCAAAGAAGACGACAGTGTGCACCCAGCTTGCGCAGCATATTTTTCCATCTGTGATCATAGCGTGTCAGGCTGCGTGTGTCGTGTGTGCGTGTGTCGTTTAGGGGACCCCCAAAATGAGCCAAAGAAAGCACACCCATTGGATCTTCCGTTTCCATGGCTCTCTCGCGACTCTGTCGTGACTTCCCGCGACCAGACTGCTCATTGGGAGGTGTCCCCGAAAAAAACGGCCAAAAAGGGGGGGGGGGGGGGGGTTCTTGCCAAAAAGAAACACGTGGGCTGGTGAGGTTCGGGGGGGAGATCCCTTCCCCTTTCTTTGGTTCAGTAAAACACCGGTGACTTTGACTAAAGTGCCCCGCGAACTGCTGGGAGAATCTCTGAACTGTCCCAGCAAAAATGGGTCAGCCTTTAGACTAGGTCCTCCAGTAGAGAGGTTAGAATACGGGTACCTTTTTTTCCGGTTGTCTATTTTAGTGGGGGAACCCTCCCCGAGGTCAAAGGGCAACAAAGCGAAGGCCAGGCAACCTCAGCTCGTGCTTCGATCAAAGGCGACGCTTGCGCCATTTTGCAGGGATCCTTACATTATACACCTGAACATTGCAACTTCTGAATGGTGATTTCCAACTTTATTTTGGTGTTGAAAAAGCAACATGGTTCAAATGGTTGCAAATTGAATTTATTTTGAGGAGCCCTGTTTTGCAGGAACCCTTGGCGTTATTTCCGGGCAAAGTCCTCAGGTTCAGTCCCCGGCGAAACCGGAAAAAAAATCGGCTGGACCCTGCAAGAACCGCCAAGGTGTCGCAGAAGGGGGCAAGGTAGTGCTTGCGTTTATGTCTTGCTTCTTGTGTTGCAACCTCACACGCAATCTGCTGAGGAGAAAAAAACATAACTTGCTGTACCGGATTGTTTGTTGCATGTTCAATCGTGGTCCAGCTTCACCAGTGGAGGCATGCGCGATCCGGTGAGATCATTGCGGCTCAGGCTGTTCCATCTTCGCAGAGAGAAAAACAAAAAAACACAGACCAAAATCCTCTGCCTGGAACGAAACAAACGTTTCTCCCGCTGAAAGATCAAAATCTGCACACCGCGCCTCAGTGGCGGAGAGATGATCCACGCCATCCTTAGGGCTCAAAAAAAAGCAGCTCCAACCCCCGCTGTCGGCTCCCGCCATCCCCTGATTTCTAAAAAAAAAAAATGTTGCTCATCTCTCGTGTTTAGCGCGGCTCCCCTCTCGCCGACTGCCTTTGGAGTCGGCGAGCGGCCCGAGGGGCCGACTTCGCGGAAGGCAGCGAGAAGTTTCAGCCAGGGCACATGGCCGCCCACGGCGTAGACCAGCGGGTAGGGGTAGAAGCGGATCCCCAAATGCTCCGCCTCGACCCCAAAAAACGAGTACTTAGATGGTCTTGGACGAATCGTTAGATGGTTAGTGCCCCTGGTTATAGGGGACTTACAACCATGCTAAGTGGCTTACAACCAGGCTTACTTGGCTATCTCCGAGGCCATCTAAGTAGTGGAATAAGGCTAACCACTTAGCAAACTCCCAGACCATCTAAGCAAGGCAGGGCCAGGCGGGTCTGTCCCAGATCCCGCTTGGATGGTTCAAGCCCAAAGGGGATACACAACTCATACTCACTTGTCCCAAGGAGCAAATTTACAAGGGTTAAAATCCTGACAGAAAGATCAAATCGATTTGCCCAAAGACAAATCGAAGCATCCCTCCCAACTCTTTCACAAGCCGATCTTTCGGGTCCCCCGTTTCGTTCGCCTCCCCGCCGTTTTGTGTTCCCTTCTTTTTTTCTTCTCCTTTTTGTTTTTTGTTTTTCTTCCTTTCTTTTTTCCTTCTTCTGGCGTTTCATGGTGACAGAGGTCCCTTGGAAAGGAGAATGGTTCCAAACACGGAGCCTCGCCCGCTTCTCGCCTCCTTGCACAAGGCCTCCGACTCCGAGGCGTCCCTGGAGGGCGGCGGCGCTGTGGGGTCCCGCCTCACGGGGAGGGCCGTGGGCTTCGACGCCCCGAAATGGACGGGCCGTGGAACAAAGAGGACACACCCACAGAGGGCCATGCGTTGCATAACCTATGGCGCTCCCGTTTTGGGGCGAAAACCTAGGGCGATCCCGTTTTGAGGTGGATGGACATCCATTTGCCAGCTTTGATGTTCACCAGGGGTTTGCTGGGTTTTGAGCGACAGCCATACGAAGCAAACACAGCATCTTGCATCTTAGGGGAAGCTTCCAAGTCCGTTCCGAGGGATTCAGCTTCTGATGCTCAGGGATCCGAAAATATTTTAGGATCCAAAAATCCAAAAGAAACGTTGCGATCGGTGTTCGAAAAGAACCATGGTTGAAAAGAATGGTTAGAATCAACCTCTAGAACTCTCGCTGCACCTACCTCATTCTTTCCAGGGATCCTTCTTGACAAGAACCATGGGTGAAGAAGCTACCAGGTCTGGTGGGGATTGACCGTCGCCGAATCCCCCCAGACCGCACTTTGAGTTGGACATGAGGCTCTGGAAAGGCAAATCGGTGGAATTTGGAATTTGGTACTCTCAAAACCAGCTCCTGTTTGGGAACTTGGGGCTGCTGTCACCTTTTCAAGTTGAAAACGGCCCAAGGAAAAAACAGGGATCCTTACATTATACACCTGAACATTGCCTTGTAAATGGTAGTTTCCCTTAATTTTGGTGGGAAAAAGCCATGTTTCAACTGGGCAAAATGAATATCTTTTAAGGAGCAATGCAAAAAAAACGTTGGGTGCGAGCGGGAAGGAAAACTCCGAGCCCAGGATGCCGAGCGCCGAGCAGGAAGTTGAGGATGCTCCGGAAGAGGCTGGAGTCCCTGTCCTGCACTCAAGGTCCCGTCGGAAGAAGAGGCCTAAGTGGATGGGGTTGCCTCCAACTTCCGGGAAGTCTGGGGTGTCCTTCAAAACGGAACTCACCCCGAATCAGTGGCCTGGATTGGTGACAAAATGTTAAACTCCTGGTTCTTTTAGAGGGATGGGAAACCATTGAACCTCCGAACCAATCCAAACCACCTCGGGGTAAGCTGATCTTTCGAAGGAACTGGACCAATTAGACTAAAATGGGTGGTGCACCCACCCCAAAACAGGATCCCATTTGGCTTTGACCCGCAGCCATTTTGAGAAACACCCCATATTCAGGACAAAACCTGGTTCTTACCCATTCATGGTTGACCATCCCTACATCCCTACCCTCCACTCCACTTCCCCAATTTCCGGCCGGTAAACCGGCCGGTGCTCAGCCCCATCGCATCCCGCAAGCGCCGCAAGCTACGGGCGGCGGGCGGGCGGCTCGCGGCGGGCGTTCGGTCCAGGAAGATGCGGCCGTCCCGGTCGCGCTGGGCCTGGAGCCGCCCAGTCATCAGCCGCTCCAGCAGGCCTCGTGAGCGGATGCCAGCGGGCGAGGAGGCGGGGGCGAGGCGACTGCAAGCGGGCGAGGCGACTGCAGGAGGCGAGGAGGTGGGGAAAAAATTGAGAACGGAAGGAACCCAGAAGAAAGGTCCAATCCCAAAAGGAACTTCCTCTACACATGGGTGGCTTCTTAGTTCCATGATCATCTTTTGGGGGGGAGTAGGTGTAAAAAAGAGAAACTGCAGTGGTCCAACTGATAAGAAATTGAAGTTGCATCTCCTTTGGGGTTTTGATGAGAAATTGGATGTCTGAAAGAGGGTGATCTCAAAGGTCTTCTTGGTTAAATGGGGGGGTGGGTTAGTCTTTGGGAGGCCCTTTTTGTTGTATCACAGAAGTGGATTCCATTTCCCACAGCCCAGATGCAGACAGAAGGAATGAGGATGACCTAATGCTTTTTGGATATGTTCATACACTTATTGGGTTCAGTCTGACAACGTGTCAGATTCTGAAAGATTCAAAAAGTGGAAGGAAACGACCCCCATCTGCCCAAAGCCAGGAAAGTTGGGGCACTTCCCCACGTCGTTTCCTGTCGGGTTTCAAGATCGCCCTAAACCGGCGGTCTCTTTAAAAAAAGTTGCACCGCAAAATGAAATGGCGTTTGGGTCGGTTTCAGTCTTACTCTTCTTTTCAACGGGGTCCATGCGGGTGGCTCGTTTGTTTGCCTTCTTTTTCTTTTTTTTCGGGGACGGAGTTCGGTTTCCCTCGTGTTTTGCCTTCCCGCCACACCCTCAAAAACGATACACACCAATGTTCAATCGCCTACACATGGTTCTTGCCCAATCTTAACCTGCGGGTTCTACCCCATTTTCAGTCGCCTCGCTTTCAGTTAGTTCACCTCTCCTAGGGTCCATGTGAGGTTTGTCTCCAGACAGGGAACCGAACGGTCCTCTATATGCTTGTTAAACATCCCCAAGACTTGCTGGTGGTCAGTAGGGAATGAGAAATGGAATAGCCCTACAAACCATCCAGCCGGAAAGGTCGACAATTCAAAACATCTTGCTGACAAGAATGATCCCTGTCTGATTCGTGGGCATCCTACTCACGTCGCTCGCCGTCGACTTGGGCTCCGGCTGCCAGGCTGCTGGGTGAAGCTGTGTCTCGAGGCCTTGGAAACGGCTCGGCGGTCGGTCAATGTCGGCTCGGTCAATGGGAAAGCGATGTGGGTACATGGTTGGGATGTGGTGGAACACTGCTGGGATATGGTTGGGATGTGTTGGGATGGCTGGGATACGCTGGGGATATGGTGTTAGTTAGCTGGGATATGAAGAGGATACGTTGTTGTGTTGGAATACCGCTTACATATGCTTGGGGGATACGGCTAAAATGTGGTTGGGATACGGTGTTCACAATTGTAGCTGGGATATGCTCTGGTTGGGATGGTAGGATATGGGACATCCTGTTGTAATATGGAGATGTGGTTAGGATATGGCTGGGATACGATTGGGATATGGTTGCGATATGGTGGTGATGTGGCTGTGATACGGTTGGCATATCCCAACCATACCACAACCATTTTCCAACTCCGACCGTATCTTGGGAAACTCTTGGGATATGGTTGTGATGTGGTGGCTGTGATATGGCTGTGATACGGTTGGAATATGGTTGGGAAACGGTTGCGATGCGAATGTGATACTTTGTGATGAGGTTGGGATACAGTTGGGATATGGTTGCGACAGTGATACGGTTGGGAAGTCTTGCGACAGTCTTGGGATATGGGTCTGAAAAGGTTGGGATACGGTTGGGATATGGTTGGGATACGGTTGCCATGTCGCTGTGATACTTGGGGTATAGTTGTGCTCTGGTTGGGATACGGTTGGGATATGGTTGCGACGTGGCTCTGATACCGTTGGGATACGCTTGGGGATCCTCGCGATAGGGTTGTGAGAAGGTTGGGATGTGGTTGGGAAACGGTTGCGATGCGAATGTGATACTTTGTGATGAGGTTGGGATACAGTTGGGATATGGTTGCGACAGTGATACGGTTGGGAAGTCTTGCGACAGTCTTGGGATATGGGTCTGAAAAGGTTGGGATACGGTTGGGATATGGTTGGGATACGGTTGCCATGTCGCTGTGATACTTGGGGTATAGTTGTGCTCTGGTTGGGATACGGTTGGGATATGGTTGCGACGTGGCTCTGATACCGTTGGGATACGCTTGGGGATCCTCGCGATAGGGTTGTGAGAAGGTTGGGATGTGGTTGGGAAACGGTTGGATGCGAATGTGATACTTTGTGATGAGGTTGGGATACAGTTGGGATATGGTTGCGACAGTGATACGGTTGGGAAGTCTTGCGACAGTCTTGGGATATGGGTCTGAAAAGGTTGGGATACGGTTGCCCATGTCGCTGTGATACTTGGGGTATAGTTGTGCTCTGGTTGGGATACGGTTGGGATATGGTTGCGACGTGGCTCTGATACCGTTGGGATACGCTTGGGGATCCTCGCGATAGGGTTGTGAGAAGGTTGGGATGTGGTTGGGAACGGGTTGCGATGCGAATGTGATACTTTGTGATGAGGTTGGGATACAGTTGGGATATGGTTGCGACAGTGATACGGTTGGGAAGTCTTGCGACAGTCTTGGGATATGGGTCTGAAAAGGTTGGGATACGGTTGGGATATGGTTGGGATACGGTTGCCATGTCGCTGTGATACTTGGGGTATAGTTGTGCTCTGGTTGGGATACGGTTGGGATATGGTTGCGACGTGGCTCTGATACCGTTGGGATACGCTTGGGGATCCTCGCGATAGGGTTGTGAGAAGGTTGGGATGTGGTTGGGAAACGGTTGCGATGCGAATGTGATACTTTGTGATGAGGTTGGGATACAGTTGGGATATGGTTGCGACAGTGATACGGTTGGGAAGTCTTGCGACAGTCTTGGGATATGGGTCTGAAAAGGTTGGGATACGGTTGGGATATGGTTGGGATACGGTTGCCATGTCGCTGTGATACTTGGGGTATAGTTGTGCTCTGGTTGGGATACGGTTGGGATATGGTTGCGACGTGGCTCTGATACCGTTGGGATACGCTTGGGGATCCTCGCGATAGGGTTGTGAGAAGGTTGGGATGTGGTTGGGAAACGGTTGCGATGCGAATGTGATACTTTGTGATGAGGTTGGGATACAGTTGGGATATGGTTGCGACAGTGATACGGTTGGGAAGTCTTGCGACAGTCTTGGGATATGGGTCTGAAAAGGTTGGGATACGGTTGGGATATGGTTGGGATACGGTTGCCATGTCGCTGTGATACTTGGGGTATAGTTGTGCTCTGGTTGGGATACGGTTGGGATATGGTTGCGACGTGGCTCTGATACCGTTGGGATACGCTTGGGGATCCTCGCGATAGGGTTGTGAGAAGGTTGGGATGTGGTTGGGATATAGTTGCAATGCGCACTGGACAGAAAGATAGACAATGTCCTCTCACTGTTCGGGGCCCGTCAAGGCCAACGAAAGAGGCTATAAATTTGACGCAGTCATGCCCGTGGGAAATTGAAGGTTTCGAAGCAGTTGACGGGCTTTAACGGAAAGATAGATGGTTGGATAACTGGACAGATAGATAGAACGATAGACAGATGGATTGATAGACGAGGGAAAGACATTCGCCCTTTTGAAAGAAATTTAGACAGATAGGAGAGATAGTAGCTAGATAGATAGATTGATAGATGGATAGACGGCTGGATGGATAGGTAGAGAGATACAAAGATAGATAGATATATAGGTAGCTAGATGCATGTGATTTGAGTATCTTGGATAGATGGTAGATAGATAACTAGGTAGATGGACAGAGACAGATAAGTGAAACTGAAGAGATAGACAGAAAGAAAGATGGGTAGGTAGATGGACAGATAGATGGATAGATAGATAGGTAGACCGATACAGATATAGAGAGCTACGCAGATAGTTCGGTAGGAGAGATACGTAGATAGAAGGATAGCAAGATAGAGACAAAGGGAATGGAGAGATAGATCGATTTGATTACATCAGAACAAATAACTAGATACGCAGATAGGCAAATGCATGAGACTAGATTGGATTAGGTCAGAGCAGATTGGATCAAACAAGCAGGTTGGGAAATGCACGGACAAACAAACGAATAGACAGGTAGCTGAATAGATGCACAAAGACCTGCGTGGATGAATAGGCAGGCAGATGGCTAGATAGAAAGATGAGTAGGCCAGCAGACACACACACACACACACGCACACAACAGTATTGGCTAATATCAAGTTTGAACCTGTTTGCCGGTGTCGCTAGCATAACCAGAGCTCCCGTTTGAAGTGTCTCTTCGAGCGGCTTTCTTCCCAAAAGGGGCCGTGCTGGTGGGATGTGGACTCCGAGTTTTGGCAGGCGGCCGTGCTGGTGGGATTTGGAGGGCGTTGTGGGATGGGAGCGCTCGTGGGTGTGAGCTCGAGATAATTTTGGTAGGCTAGTTGGACAGATCTTGCTCCGTGCCTGGCGTGGGTTGTCAACCAACGGCAGCCTCGTGTCAACTGCTTCCCAACCTTCAATTTCCCATGGGCATGACTGCATCAAATTTATGGCCTCCTCTTTCGTCGGCCTTGACGGGCCCGACGGGCCCGACGGGCCCAACGGGCCCAACGGGCCCAACAGGCCCGAACAGTGAGAGGACATTGGCCCCCTGCTCTGTTTTGCAACAGCGTGCCCGGGCTGCGTGAATGTCGTCATGCCAACATGCACGCTATATATGGTCGCCCATCGTCTCATTCTGCCAGTCGCACGCAGCATGCCTCGCGAAATCTCCATAGCCTTTGGTGTTCGGAATGGAAGGTTTGATGCAAAGTTGAGGCAGCGCTCTTCTATCGCTCCGGGCCCCCTTTCGGGGCTGCCGGGTCGATTGCTGACTCAACATCTCCAAGTGTAGTTTCTCAACGGCAGTACATGTGTCTAGACTGTTCTGCGCTCAGCTTTCACTGCGCAAGAAAGAGAAAGAGAAAGAGAAAGAGAAAGAGAAAGAGAAAGAGAAAGAGAAAGAGAAAGGGAAAGAGAAAGAGAAAGAGAAAGAGAAAGAGAAAGAGAAAGAGAAAGAGAAAGAGAAAGAGAAAGAGAAAGAGAAAGAGAAAGAGAAAGAGAAAGAGAAAGAGAAAGAGAGAGAAAAAGAGAATGGAGAAAGAGAGAGAGAGAGAGAAAAGGAGAAAAAAAGAGAAGAAAAAAAAGAGGAGAATAAAAAAACGAAAGAGAAAAAGAAAGAGGAAGAGAAAGAGAGAGAAAGGGAAACATAAAGAGAAAGAGAAAGAGAAAGAGAAAGAGAAAGAGAAAGAGAAAGAGAAAGAGAAAGAGAAAGAGAAAGAGAAAGAGAAAGAGAAAGAGAAAGAGAAAGAGAAAGAGAAAGAGGAAGAGAAAGAGAAAGAGAAAGAGAAAGAGAGAGAAAAAGAGAATGGAGAAAGAGAGAGAGAGAGAGAAAAGGAGAAAAAAAGA